AAAAGTTTAAATACACATTCAAATTTGTATTTTTTTCAAAGGGAAATACAGGCAAAAACATTTTTCTTGAAGTTCAGTGACCTTTCGAAAAAAAAATTATATCTCCATAATAAAAGTAAATATCTAAACGGGTGTTTCTTAGTATAATTTATTAGGATTCAACCTATTGAAATCGAACATAAAATGAGGATGTCTGCAACTAAAGTAAAATAACACACTGTGCCCTCCTCGAACCAGTGCTTTCTTGGAGGAACCAATTGGATAGTTTTGTACCATATACCCCTTGTCACAGATATGTCATCATAGCTCTTAGCCCATTGATCCATATTTAGGTCCCTGATAATGGGATAAGTTCTGTGGAAGAGGGTATACCTGATGGTTCCAACAGCTCGGAAACAGCCTCCCTTGCTAGTCTGTCTGCTATCTCGTTTCCTAGAAGTCCAATATGAAGTGTTATGTTAATGTTATTGGACAATAGGTTAGTCATTAATTTTGATGCCTCGTATGCTATTGGTACGCTTCGACCTCCAAAGACACATCGAACCAAGTGTCGAAGTGCACTTTTAGAGTCAGTGAGAATAACGATTTTGTTTGAATCCACAGAACTAACAAATGATAATGCTTCCTCTATGGCAAGTAACTCCACTGTCATTATGCATGCTTCATAACACAATTTCAGTTTGAATGTGTGAAAATTACATTTTGTTGCGGGTCGTAAAAGGTCGCACCAACACTATTGCTGTCCTTGGAACCATCAGTAAAAATAATATAGTAGCCACTGTATTCAAAAGTCACAAACTATTCACACAGTTATTTAAATTCACCGTGTTACATTGTCCCTTGGGAGTGGTCAGTGTCTTTTATTCTGATATTTACATCTATGTTCGACATCCAAATTTCCATATAAAACATTTCCAATTTGTTATTTTTGTATTCATCTCTATTTTCTAAATTGTTACAAGTTTCGGTTAAAGCTGGTTTTGCCTTATTATTCCAGTAACTATTTGTGTTACATTTTGCGGTAAGATCTTGAATACTTTGACACTTACTTTATCAGTGAGAGATAACTTGAATAACCAATGTTTATATGCCAACCAATATCTACGCACAGCCAAAGGTGGTATGGCCAACTCACATTCCATTACAGGTGTCGGTGTAGTTCTAATGAAACCCCCACAGATACGTAAGCCTTTATTTTGTAAGAGGTCTAGTTTACGTAAGTGACTGCTCACTGAGTTAGCGTACAAAAGACTTATATTAACGAATTGGCTTGGCTTCTCAGACGAGAAATGTATAGCCTTCTCATAAACTTAGAGTGAAAGCCCCAAGAGCTACCTACGAGTTCTTTTAAAATATTAAGATCTTTATAAATCTCTTGACACTACTCATTTATGTGAGAGTTCCAGAGGAGCTTGGAGTCTATAAGCCCAGATATTTCATTTTTTTATGGTTATTTATTACTACACCAGCTATGTCTAATTCTACATTAAATTCTTTTCTGCATTTATTAAATAAACAGGCTTTACTTTTCTCCTCATGTACACAGTCCAATATTTCCCAATAATTCCGCAAAAATACAGATCACATTCCTAATAACAACAGATTGGATTTCCGTATATACTACTAAATCGTTAGCGTATTGCAGGACTTGAACTTCCGTATCGATTTTTGTTAGTGAGAATTATTGAAGAGTAGTGGTGACAAAGGGTCGCCCTGGGGTAAACTTCTGTTAGCTTGTCTACTAAAGAAAGTGTTACTGGGTAACTGCACCATCAATATTCTATTAGTCAAGAAGTTCCATATATATCGATAGATTCTTCCGTCCACTCCAATACCCTTCAGGCTTTCTACCAGGGAAGAGATACTAACATTGTTATAAGCGTTAGAGACGTCTAAAAAGCAAGCCAGAGTTGGGGGTACCAACTCACGAGAAACCCAAGGTTATATCTGAAACAATTCTTGAAAGACAATCCAAACTAGAACAAACTCTCCTAAAACCAACTGAGGAAGAAGTTAAGTCTCAATTCTCCATGTGCCACTCAATTCTTTTCATAAGGATGAAATGAAAGAGTTTGCACGGGCAAGACATCAGAGAGGTAGGGCGTAACGATGACAATGAGTTTAATAATACTTCACTGTCTAGGAAAGGAACCTGTTTTTAAAATTAAATTAAAAATATTTTGGCAGAATCTGGCAAATTAAATAGCACGGAGTAGGAGAAGTCATCAACACCAAGGGATCTTTTCGTTTTATATAGTTATTCAATTCACAAAGGGTTATTTCTGTTTCTAGCAGATTCATGGGAATATTATTTATTTCAGTAGGCTTTTCTCCAACAGAGTCGGGTGTTAGGGAGAGAAGCAGTTTCTTTCCGGAGTTGTGGTGCTCCTGTTATCGCTTTTGCCTTTTATCCAATTCATTTTACGCCACATGTCAGATGGTGAAGTCTCTTCACCCAGGCTTGTACAGAAATCTTGCCAACCTTTAGAAATTGGTTGTCTACATCACCATGGATTTAACTCGTGAACATTTTCGTAGTATGATTTTATACGACTTTAAGTGCAATTTAACAGCTCAGCGGAGCTGCGCTGGGCTTCAAACTGCTTTTGGCAATGAAGCACCATGCAAGACGACTATTTATACTATCTATACTGGTTTGCAGAATTCAAACGTGGTCGGGTGAATCTCAGTGACGAATTTCGTGATGGTCGCCCGTCCACTGCTGTGAACAACAAAAACATCGATACTGTGCGCCTTATGATCAAAAAAGACAGGCATGTGACATACCATGAGATTCGGGCATCTTTAGGCCTAGGCATGAGTCAAATACAATCAATACTACACAAACGTTTGGGTGTGAAAAAGCTGTGCTCTCGGTGGATCCCACACAATGTGACTGAGGCTTAAAAAACGAATCGCGTGACTTGGTGCAATGCCATGCTTACCATATTCAACGAAGGGGCGTCAAATTTGGTGTAGAACATAATAACAAGTGACGAAACAGGGATTTATAGTTACGATCCCAAAACAAAGCAGCAACCGAGCGTATGAGTCTTTCGAGATGAGCCGAAACCAATCAAAGTGGCGCGCGTGCAAAAATGCCTCTAAACGGATGATTGCTTCTTTTTTTAATAGAACTGGACACGTGGCTACTATTGCTTTGGAGAATCGTTGTACCATGAATAGTGATTGGTACACGACCATTTGTTTGCCGGAAGTTATTGACAAACTCCGTAAAAATAACCGTAAACGCCGTATCATCTTGCACTACGATAATGCCAGTTCTCACACGGCCAGACAGACAAATTAATTTTTGAAGGTGAACAACGTACAGTCCCGACCTGGCACCTTGTGACTTTTATTTATTTCCAAAAATTAAGAACCAGTTACGCGGTCAATGATTTTCATCACCTGAAGAGGCTGTCGAAGAGTATGAAAAATATATTTCAGAAATTGTCACGGAGGAGTGGCATAAATCAAAAGTGGTTCATTCGTATGAAAAACTGCATTAACGCTAACGGAGAATATTTTGAGAAACAATAAATTCAGTTCCGACGATTTATAGTATTTTTTTCTTATTCATTCTGGAAACTCATAGTATGGATCAAACATGTTCAAGAAAGGAATATATGTAGTAGAGCTGCTAATCTTTTGGTAATCCCTAAGCACAAAACAATGGGGTTTAGAGGCGTTTTAAATATGCTGTCATTACGTAACAAAGTTAAACATCAACTGAAAAAGGTAATACTCGCCAAACAGAAAGAGACACTCCTGAACCAGACTCATTTTTTGTGGTAATAGACATATTCACTAATTTTAAATCAGGTATTCAGATTTACAATTACACAGAAAATTATTGGTTCGATTTTGGTACGAGTGAAAATTAAAGGTTAATTTTTATTTTTAATAATTCAGATCTTATTATTAGGCAATGGTTAGTTTTAAGATGTTTATTTTTTAATATTTTTATTTTAGTATTTTAATATTGTAATAGATTACCTAGTACTTTAACTTTAAATTTAAGTCTAAGTTTATAGAATAGGCCCATAATGCAAATTTGTGTACTAAAGTCGGGGGTTGGCTGAAACCAGCGCTGAGCGACTTCTGTCACTCAGTAAATGCTGAGTCTGTTCCCCACACACAAATCATTTAGTTTTTTTAAAATAATATTCTATAGATAATCTTGTTTCCTCTCATTCTGTATTTTATGTGGTTGGAAATAAATGGTTTAAATGGTAATTGAGTATTGTAGTAAGCGTCTACACTTGTGCACTGTATGCATTTAGATGAATTAAAGCGTTTTTGATGAGTGTTGTACAAGTGGTGTTTAACTTATCACAAGGTACTGTCCCAGTAGGACAGCGTTCGCAAATTTCGTCACCAATCCAGCATACATCCTATTGCTGGGTACGGTCCTGCTCTCATTGCTGGGCACGGCCCTGCTCTAAGGAGAGGGTTTATGCCATAGTCCGCCATACTGGCATAAATGTGTGTTGCAGACTTAATGGTTGTTAAGTTTTCAAAAATGGAGATTTCTTAAACCATTACCGAGAGGAACTGCTGCTAAACATTCTCAAATATACTCATACATAGGCAACTTAGAAACTAATGTCATGCAATTGACCTCTCGATTGAAAAGGAACTGTTCACCCACTATGCTTCTCTACTCCTAAATTAAACAAAATAAAAGAACATGTGTATTCTTCCTAAGAGGATGCTTGCCATTGAGCAGCAGACTTTGATTGGTCAATACACTAAACGAACCGTCCTAGTATTCATTTTGGTGTACAGTAAAGAAATTTTGTGATGTATTGTAGAGAAAGATCTGTGTAAATATATAGATTTTGACATTTTACTTCAAACTTTAGACTGGCTTTCAAGTGATGCCTCAGAAATCTGTTCTGTGGTGTTGAACCAATATAGAGTACTAAGGATTGCCATGACAGAATACAGAAGGTATATCAATGTATAATAATAAAGGGCCTATTTCTTAATTTTAGGTAAGATTAACATGGAATCTGCTGGAGATTGGTGCTTAATTGAAAGCGACCCTGGTGTTTTCACACAGTTAATAAAAAAGTTTGGTAAGTTTGGAAGTTTCGATTTAGCAGTGTCCCTCTCATTATATTACGTATTCCTAATACTGAGGCCTGTAAATGTGGTATGAGTTGACATTGCTAGAAATATCGATCGTATTGCTTAAAGTTGTGGAATGTCATTGATTGGATGAGAGCAACACAGATATATTAAAAGTAGTAATACTTGAAAAGGCATATGGCAGTAATTTACAACTATAGACCGAGATAATTATTTATGAGATAATACAATATGACTATTGCATATAAGTATATAATGTATTACCAGTTTCTTTTTTCAAGACAAGACTAGAAATGAATTGTTTTTTAAACTCCGAAAATGTCTTTTGAATTTCAGGAGCCAAAGGTGTACAAGTAGAAGAGTTGTGGACTATTGAAGATTCAATTTTCGAGAATTTAAGGTGAAATGACGATTTCAGCAGCATTTGTTTATGAGAATGGCTTAGATTTATTAATTATAACAATATTTGTTTGTTACAGACCTGTACATGGACTTATATTTTTGTTTAAATACTTACAACATGAAGAACCATCTGGACCTGTTGTGACTGATGACCGGCTAGAAAAGATTTATTTTGCTAAACAAGTTCGAAACTTGATATTTTCTCTTTAATCACTAAGCTAATTTGTTGTTGTTTATACATAATTCTAACCTAATTTCAGGTGATCAACAATGCTTGTGCCACTCAAGCAATAATAAGTTTACTATTGAACTGCAATCATCCAGATGTAGATCTTGGACCAGAACTATCTAAACTGAAAGAGTTCAGTATGTCCTTTGATCCTAAAATGCGTGGACTTACCCTTAGCAACTCACAGACGATACGTAGTGCTCATAATTCTATGGCGCAACAGACTCTTTTTGAATTCGACCCAAAAATGGCAACCAAGGTTAATTTTGTTCTAACCTTTTATATTTCAGTGACGAGGCATGTAGATAAATTGTTTTGATCTATTTCAGGATGATGACGCTTACCATTTCATAGCTTACATGCCCATTGAAGGAAAACTATATGAGCTAGATGGACTTCGTGAAGGTCCCATTGATCACGGGGCCATCGCCCCTGAACAGGATTGGCTGGACGTAGTCAGGCCAATCATTTTGAAAAGAATCAATGTGTAAGACTTTTACTTTTTGCATATTTGAAAGTAACTTCCTTGGTCCGAAGAAGCACTGTACCACTCAGAGCAAAGATCTCTAAGGGGCAGTATCACTGCGCTCGTGATCCTGAGCCAAAGTTGACAAGCCCCATGAGCCTGTAGTTTCCTCAGCACCCTTATATTTAAAACCCGAACGCAGTAATCGTCGCATTACGCTTTAGCGACAGAAATAGGTACAGTGATAGTACTTGTCTGTACGAATTTTTTCACAAAGAGATCTACTGCTACTACTCTATACATGTTTCGTGTGTTTTTATTTAACTGTTTTCGTTACAGGTACACAGAGGGTGAAATCCATTTCAACTTGATGGCACTCGTGTCAGACCGAAAAATGATATACGAGCGCCAGCTAGAAGAGCATCTCAAGGAAGTGCAGATGCTTGGTATGGAAACAGATATCACTGAGAACGAAATACCAAAACTTAGAATGTTCATTGAGTATGAAGATGCCAAGATGGCTAGATATCAACTAGAAATGGTTCGTAGAAGACACAACTATCTGCCATTCATCATTACGCTTTTGAAAATCTTAGCTGAGGAAAAGAAATTGCTGCCTCTCTTCGAAAAGGCTAAGGAACGCGCTGCGAAGAAGGGGCCGAAGAAAATGAAAGTATAACACGAGCATTATGGAGGCCTTAAGGTGGACAAAGCGCGTGGGCGGCGTATATCACAGTCGAGCCCATCGCGTGTGCTACCTGCTTCCGAAGATATGCAATACTCGTTAGCAGACTTACACTCAGTTTTTCAGGATCCTTCCCCAGAAATAGAATCAATATTCCAAGATCTTCAACCAGAAGTAGAAAGTTTGTTCCCGGATTTACAAGTGGGCCTTGGGTCCTTGTTGCAAGAGGCTCGCACGACTGCCCCATGTACAGTAACATCGCAATCATTGCCAAGTACTTCTCAGGCTTACGGGCACTCTTCCCAGCCTTACGGGCACTCGTCGCAGACCTACGGACACTCCTTACAGAGTTTAGGACACTCCTCCCAAGCCCTGGGGCATTCCTCACAGGCCTTTGGGCATTCTTCGCAGGCCTATGGGCATTCTTCGCAGGCCTTTGGGCATTCTTCACAAGCCTTTGGGCATTCCTCGCAGGACTTTGGCCATTCCTCGCAATCCTTTGGGCATTCATCTCAAAGTTTCGCACACTCTGCACGGACTTGCGAGCCGCAGCCATCCACTTCATCATATGGCATGCCAAAGTCTAAAAATAAAAAAGGCAAAAAATCTAAAAAAAATCAAAACCGTAACAAAAACAAATCTCCTGAAGTGGCAAAGGTTGAGGATAACAATAATGTATCTTCAGACGAAATTATAGATGTGTTGGGGACTGACTCACAGGATGTAGTACAGGTGGATGACTTAGTAGATTCTGAAATGTTGGATCAAATAATTGATGTGGATATGAATGTTGACACAGAGGCGCTACTTAATACAGATGATTTTGATACGCTCGATATTTCAAGTGAGGACAAAATGGACACTCATGATTCACAGTAAAGATTTTTTGCATTAGCTACTGAAGAAAGGAATATGATTTTGTGTAAGCAGAGACATCATTGTAATTTATTGACGTGTATATGTAACAAATAGTATGCATACTTTGGTGTTATTTACTGTAGACGGACTTACATATATTATTAGCTATTATTGGAAATATTCATGATTATATATGTGTTAACATAATCTTATAACGATTGGTCTATTAGTATACATACATTATGCTTTTACTTGTAAACTTTACTATTATTTCTTGCTTTATAATAATTGGTGTCTGTACAACTACCCAATTAAATTAAGTAAGAACTGCTTTTTGAAGATCATTGTTTAGTCAGTATTAATTTTTAAGAAATTTCGATTTAATGATTAATGTTCAATTGAGTATTTATTTGAGCGAAGACAAATGTCCATATTTATTTGCTAGTTACGTCAATTATTTTTCACATTATATACATGTCGTAATAAAGTAGTTACACTCTGTGTCTATGATAATGGTATCCCGACCTGCAAACTTCTAAACCTTCTGTGTATGTCTGTTAGTAGCTGTATGCTGCAGAGCTGTTCCTCTATCCTAGTGTAAAACTTATGTCATTTAATGTGAAACGTATTTATGTGTCTGCTAATAAAACTACACACTAAATATAAGTAAATTTAATTTCTAATTGTAGTCCTGTGTCCAATTTTTCGCTGGCGGCAAATTTTGCGAATAATAGTATAGTCAACTGCATTTCGAGCGTACAACTATGTTCAAATTTAGGGTGCACCAGTATTTATCATACAGAGTTGTTTGTAAAATATTAACAAGCTCCCAGGACTATATTACTATCATCGCAAACAACAACTTTTGCTCCATGACTTTTAAAAATAAAGTATTACAAATTTTACTTGCATAAAAACAAAAATATTTAAATAGATCGCTTTCTAAACGGTGATAACCCTGTGCGGTAACAAAAGAAAGTGGAGCTCGTCAGGGAGGATCCTTCCACGTTTAAACTACTGCCTACCACATACAGATCTGAAAAATGTTAGATAGTATAACTACAACTCAAAAGTTTATTTTTGGTAAATTTATTATGTTTTGTAAAAAGTCTGGAACAAAAGTTCTTGTATATAATGTTAGTAATATAAACTTGCAAACATTTCATCTCCTGGCGAACGCGAATGCTTATTGATACCCATCCGCTGGTTTGCTATTCATGGATTTTTTATAGATATCTTGCATTGTTTCATTAGAATATCAATAGTTAATCAGGTGCAATTATTTGAACAGATAAGTTACGAGAACTATAGATTCATGCCTCCAAATTTTTAGGTGTATTAAATCTATCCCGTAGAATTATTTTAACATGAAATATTGTGGGGCATGCCACTGGACGTTTCTTATTTGCTACTTAGTTTTACATGGGTTGTCAAGGAATGTCATATACGACTATGTAATATTATAACTGTCACAACGTGTTGGAGCTTTCATCCCAGTGACACCAACAAAAATAATAAAATCACTTGTGAAGACGTAGTGATTGCTGTGCGAAGAGAGGGTGCAAAATGTCATGGATTTCTTTTGAAATAAGTTATATGATTATATATATATTTCTAAGTATACTAAATACATGAACATATGGCGCAATGAAATACAGAAAGAGAAACTTTAATCTAAGGAACAGATTATGATCGTTGGACACTGACTCACAAATGGCGAGACGTGAGGGGGATAGAAAGTTCCTCAGCTTCTGGTAACACCGCTCTGGTTGCGTCTTATCAAAATTAATTATTTACATCTTATTATAATTTCTCCTTAAAACTAAATAATAAATCTACTTATCGAACGGTTCATGTACCAAGTTAAATGAACAATAAATTAATGAATTTTGGACGTGATGTGGCACATTGATGATACAAATTTGTTATTTACAATGATGTATAAACTACGTATACGTTAGCACGTTTCAATACTGCGCTCGTCCGTGCGAGTTCATCTATGTGGAAGAACATCGCCGCGCGCCGGTGCCGTAATACGAATGTCATCCTATTATACTGTACTATATACAATATACATAAGTAATTGTTTCAATCATACAATAGTTCATCTAAATTATGTGTCATTTTAGTACGGGCACGGTACTGAAGTGTGCTGACTCATATAGCTTAAAGCTTAGAGTAAAATATAAAGAACATGGGGTGGACTTGTGGGATAGTGATCGATAGAGAAGTGTTTATTTACAGATACAGATAGATATTTGAGCGAACAGCTGCCTGCGATGTTCAAGTTCATTACTCGGATTCGATCCTTTTTATGTTTTCTTGTAATTCTACTTCACGTGTCATTGAATATCACAGAACTTCGTCTTAACATTACATTTCTGTAATGCGATTACAATCACCACTAAAATGGTGTCATTGTTAATATTATTCTAGTTGAAATAGTAAGAGCAATACTGTATTGTAACAAACATGGAATTTATTTATAATGGTATTGCCCTTTTTGTAACTAGAGCTAAGAAAAAATAATTTAATATATTTAGGCTAAGGACAAAATCTAGCGGAATAATCGCATAATACGACGATATGCACGCATATTTTGCACGCCGCAGATCACTCGACAAATCTAAAATATTGCGGCTATATTTCTTGCTTTTTACAATACACTGGCTCGTTGAAAACATTTTAGCGAATGTATTTTTTAATACATAGTGTAACACGAGCGGAAATTTAACGCTTAATATGGTGCGTTTTATATTAACTCGTGAAGCAAAATGTATCGAAAATTATATGCCAAACTACCGCGGAGGCACTGAAAGTGTGGTTAATTATTTCTGTGTTCACAATATGGCTCGTCCAATGTATGTATATTAAGGGATTCAGTACATTTATCTCCGTGGAATCGCCTTGCGCCGGTCAAAAAACCTTTATATCCATGCAATAATAGCGAAAAAGACATTTTGTTTCCGCTTGTGTCCCCGACGTGAAACGTAAGTCATTTTTTCTTTTAGTACGTGGACATACGGATTTTTCTGATCGGCTTAATGCGGTTCCATGTCGATAAGTATGGTGACTCCCTAATAAGTCTATTGTGCGGCCATATTTACGCTTGCGTATTCAGCTACATTTGTCCCTAACCGTGGGGTAAACAATTTGTGTTGTATATTGGGTCAGATCCTTCTGAAATAGTTTTAAGTATTTTATAATATGAATATAAAGTGATAGCGTATCCGTGGCTACAATATTTCTGAAAAAAAATAATCCATACATTCTTTTGTAACTTTTTAGATGGTCGGTACATTGTAAAAATGGCGCCTGGTTTAGTCGAGTCCAGGTAATGAGTGAACAGAGGCTGGTAGGCGAAGTGTGCAGCCGGAAGAGGCGCTCACGTGTTGGGCTGCAGGCCCTTGGGCTTTATCATCATCGAGGCGCGCTTTAGAGTATAGTCCCAACCTCGCCAGCGGAACCAGACGATTCCTGTAAACATTGTAAAAATAAATTTATTCAATTCGAGCTTTTTCTTCGACTTTGCTCGCGGCCCAGCTTATTGGAAGACTACTCTGCAACTTAAGGTGATATGTCCTAATGCTGTTTGTGGATTTGTTCAAAGACGTTATCTTATATAGTATTTCTGTGATACGAGTAATCCCTTTGTTTCGTTTGCTCAAATAGCAAAATGTTTGACTTTATCTTTTTATAAAAAAAATAAAGGGCATACTATAATATATTAGTAATTAAACAGAAAAGAGTAACCGGACATGTTAATTGGAAAACGTATGCATATTAATGCAGGATCACCTTAATTCACATCGAACTTGTAGTGACTTATTAGATTATTACACTTCCTCTATGTAGCATAAAATATTTAAAAGGTTCATAAAGTCATTTTAACATCATGTATACTTATTAGTCCTCAATTCAACGAAGCATTAACAAAGAAAAGTGAGGTGAAAGGTTGGTACAGATGAATTTTTTTTAATACACTCCTTGCTTTACAGTATAATACTGTTTGAATAAAACGTTGGTGAAAAATTCCTGTGGCTTGTATCTAACCTTGTCTGGCGGTGAGGTCCTGTGGGTCGTGCAGGTAGAGGCCATTAAGCCCGCGGCCGCAGGATTTCCACCACCATCCGCCCTTCAGCATTGATGCGCAGTTTAGGGACGATCGGTCGTTATCTCTGAAAACGTTTTCTTATCACAACATTGGACCATTTGTTTGCCGGTTTGTTGGTGCACCTGATCATAAGCGGTTACCATCACCTAAGTATTAGTCTGCATTCTTATGATGATCTCAAGGAGCCGCTTTTAGAAGGCGAATTGCAGTACCTAAATATGCGATCTACACTTCCCTATCAATCAACGACATATCCTACAATTTCATCGTGGTCAGTCAACGACATACCACAATCTCATTTTATCACTTCCAGAATTGATTATTCGAAATCAGAACCCACCTACGGTTTCCTAGTGATGACGCTTTTTTTTGTAGTGTGAATCTGTTGTTTCTATCTTTCGCTTAAATACTAACACCATGACGTATGCATCTACCCAAAATACTCACGGATAATTCATTTATCCATATTACCAAGTGCAGATGTGGATTTATCACCTTTTTTACTTAACGAATGTAGGTACCTATATAGTTACCTGTTATAAGTGGAGAACGGGCTATTGTTGGAACCGTACCATGGGTCGTTCAGCGAGTCGCCAGCATTACCTTCGTATCCGTCGATCTCCAATTTGTAGTATTCCGCTTCTGAATAAATCTTGAAGTGCGAATACTGCGCATATCTGAATTAAAGACACAATAGCGTGTAATTCTCGTATTGGGTGATGTACACGATTATCAGAAGAAACTCATAACGAACACCTGCTTGAACCTGTTTATACGGGGCTAGAAGGATGAAATTACTAACTGAAATAACAAACTGACCTCTTGTTGCCATCGAAGTCTTCAAGTTCGACCCTGATCATGTAGTCATCATTGTTTGTGAGCATATAAATATTCTCGTTGCCTAGCCAAAATTCCTTGCTAGGGTCCCCAAACCCGTTTTTGTAGTCATTCCAATCTCGATTGAAGTTCTCTGGAGGTTGCCCGAAGTCATCACGCCGATGAATCACCTGGTAGTTAAATTATTGAACTGTTCAAAGGATTTGCTTGAATAGTTACAGCTTTTGTGGAACCTTTTATTATGATTAGGGTGCCAAAAGAAGTTATCTTCTATTAAGTTCTTGTACCTACTAAGTTAATTTTATTAAAAAGGGCCGTCAAGTGATTTCCTTGACCCTACATTTTTAAGTGTTCTTTATACCTATAGATCGACCAAGTAATTCGGATTTCGTGGGCAATGATTGTTATCACGACTCACGATATTCCTTCGCTGTATTGTTTACGAGATTATTCAAGGACTTTCTACTACAGCAATTTAAGAGGACTATAATTTCGACTTTACTACAAACTTCAATTAGGGTAATTTCAATTTAAAATTAGGCTTTATTTAAATTAAAATGGATGGTTCTCATGAGTACCTGCTATTGCATAAGTTTGTGGAAGACAAAATTGTCAACGTAATTGTCGGCAATTTGTGAAATATGCAATGCCTAGTTGCACTTGGCATTTAGTAACTAGATAGGTAGTGTAGGAGTACGTAATTTAGGAAAGCGTTGTGACTTTTAGGTATATCAGAGAATACTTACAGTCCAACCACCATCGGCAACATTCTGCTCACAGTAGACCTTGAGGAACCAGTACGTGGTCCCGCGAATTTGTAGGTAGTAGACACCTGATTCTCGCATGCCGGCGTTCAGGAGATCTACGCACGAGTAACCCTGTAACGGTAGTATACACTATTGTAGACTCATTTCTTAGACTACCTTTGCTTTTTATATGAGTCTTTAAACTACAATCGCCTCGAACTCGATCTAGATCTCCAACAGCGAGTGGACAGCCCTTCGTCAGTCGCAAAGCGAAGCATATTTATTCCTATTATTTCGCAGTGCATTAGTTACGTTCCAGATTTGTAAGTCTAATGGACGACGCTATTAAAGTTAGCATTATTGTTTGTGTATATAGGTAGGTAGGTACATGCGTTTCTTTAAAACTTCATCGATTCGTGAGTGAATTGAAGAATGTAAAGCCCAATTTAAAGAAAATAAATGCTGATTATTAATATAAAAACCACGATATCTCCTTCAGCATAACAGAAAGCTTGAATAAATCTAGTGCCCAAGGAAAATAGTCAATGGTAGGTTTTAGCAATGTACCTCTTACATTAAAGCTTTCTACGCGCGATAGTCTTTTTTTTAAAGACCATGTTTAAGAGTTCCTTTCAGATAACACGGAGATAATTAGACATTTATGTTATATTCAAAGCGCAAGTGTCTTTTGGAAAAATCACAACAGTGAACAAAATTATATTAATGTACTAACAGCAAGGCTATACTGATGTATAAATATAGGTGACACCGTTTGCTGCAATTAATATAATAGTATGCAGTGCTTTCTATACGCGTCTACGTGCTGTTGAAACACGAAGAGTTGCATTTCGCATCATCATCTCTAGTTCACTTTCTCGCTAAAGGAATGTGGCGCGACGTAGCGTGTTACATTGTTATTTTCAATATCTCTCCCACTGCTAATTGTTACGTCATAGAGATATACATATTTCAAATGGTAACAGTGAACCACTTTTAATCAAAAGTTAAACCAAGGTTATTAACCGTAGATTAACATGAGTCTCAAGTTAGTTTACAGTCATCATAAAGTAATTCTGTTTGTTGATGATTTATAAAAAAATGAGCTGCTATTGTACAGCGAGTAAATAGTTACGTACTGAATATACCACGTCAGATACCTTATACCCACGCCAACGCAAGTCCGTTGTGTATCTGATAAAAAATTAAGTCGTTTTGCTTTATGTGCCATTTTGCTTTAGTCTGCGCAGACACCGGTTGTAGCGGTGATTGTATGTCCTTAAGACACTCCATTAATATTTCTATAGTGAGGTTGCCAAATGGTCTATTTGCTGTCCATACGTGTCGGTGGCATCTGGCGCTTTGTTCGCGACGAGATAATTATTCTTTAGATTTATAACTCGCGAATTGCGCAACCGCGCGGCGAGTCGCACGCCGAGCTTTCCATCCGTCCAATATGTTTGCTGGACAATGAGTACTTAACCATTCACGAACAAAGAAAGCAAAGAAGGAAGTTACTCTAACCCTAAAGGCTTGTTGAGTCAAAACTTATTTATATTCCATTTTGCATTATAAATTACTTTCATGAGGTGGTTAAACAGATGTTTGGACTTTCTTAAGTTTAAATGACGTCAATAATATTCAGTAATATTCTATTCAGATTGTCTTGAAAGGTTTCCTAGTCCATGGCAATTGTGCGTTTGCAAGCAAGTATTTATTATGATTTATCCGAGCATAATCTAAAGTCAATTTTCGTTGTTAAATAACTGAGAAGGTATAATGCCAATAATGATACCTAACTGGGGAAAAGGAAAGTGGTAACGTAACGTATTTTCATCATTGGGTTGGGGTGAACGGCCACGATTTGTCAGTTTCCTGTTAATAGTAGCGGGATGCAGTAAAATATGTGCCAACACGTCGTCCGGTTCTCATATTAACTAAGACATGAGCTAAGATTTTTTTGGAAAGGGTTATAGGTACTATGTCGGTGTCGCATGCCTAACCAACCTCCATTACATTCTTAGCACCGACGAACGAGTCGGGTAACACGAGAGTCAACATATGAGCGATAAAAATTGCGCCACACTGCTCGCCATAACCGCGGGTCTCGTACTCCAAGAACAATAAACACGTTGTATTATTACATTGGTTGTCATTTGGTGGGAACAGGCGGTTTTTGCGCATGCGCTTACGGCCTCGCGGAAAGCGCACGACGATGTATGAACTAGTTTTACGTAATGCTCGCGACGCAACTTTCTTTGCGAGCGCTTTGAGCGCTTGATTTCTTTCAACGGAGTCGTCGTCGTCGGCTATATGTATGTTACCTCAATTTTCATAGCTCGCAGTTTTGGAAAATCCAGAATAAAAAATATATTATGATGGAAATGGAACTATTTATCAGATCTAAATCGTGCTTATTCTCTTTTTTTTCAAACCTACTAACGTTTCGGGTACTTTACAGGTCCCATGGTCACGGCTGACTGAAGTAAGAGCCAGAATGGCGGGTGTACCTTAACGGTTCCTGACGAATTTGGTATCAAAAAAATGTACCTTATATGTACTATTTAGTACCTCTGTTTAAAAAATTTGTACCTCCATCAGAACGAAGTTATAGCAATTTCAAAGGTACACCCGCCGTATTGACTGTCAATATGGCGGGTGTACCTCGGATTACCAGTATTTATTTAGTAACTATAAAAACTTCTTATTCCAAAAATTTTTACCTTAATAGTACCTACTCTGAAGTAAAGTGAAACTCCAGCTCGATCTGCTGGTTAGTTTCTGAGAACTAGGACAAATTATGTTGAGATTTTAGAGTGCCGTGCGCATCTTAACGAATCCTAACATATTTGATACCAAAAAAATGTACCAAAATTGTACTTAGTACTTATTCTTAAAAAATTTGTACCTCTATCATAACGAAGTTATAGCAAAATCAAAGTTGTAAATATTTTCGTAATTAAAAACAAAAATTTCCCACATTTAGTTGGGTATCTAGGCTAAGGTTCCACCACACAGCCTCTTCATATGTCAATATCTTTCCTTGTTTTGATTGAAAAGGTTACAAGCGCGTGTTCTTAATATAGTTTATTTCGCGATTTTATTAGATAAGGCATCTAATTTCTCACGTATTTCTGGAACCATTGCATTGTCTACATTTTCTAGTAAAAATATACTTACCTGCACAATGTTTCAAATAAATCTAATGTACGAGTAGATATAGCATCTTTCTACCGGTATAGCAGTATCAGAGACGTCTATCAATAACATACCTAAATAACTTTAAAAACAATAACTTTAAAAAAGAGACAACGCTGTATGTAGCTTCAGATTTTGATGTTTAAACACACTAAAAGTGTGTCTAGTGTAATGATTTTGCTAGGCTGTTCTATATTGCGCAGGTAGTGTTCCGTATTGCCAAACCAGAACCATAAATGGTCGCATGTTGGCCCGGTGGTGGCGTGGCTTGCCATACAAGCCTCGGAGCTGCATACTATTCGTTTTGATTAAAACTGACAGAACATTTCACATAACAACACCAAAACGTTCGCTGTAAGCTTCCTGAAATATTTTTAAATATGTTTGTGCTAAACCTAATCCTACTTATACTTTAGCAGGACCCTAATCAATATTCACTTAACATAATAGTAATAGTCTATGTATATTGTAATATGAGCACAATCAGTACTTTAAGAACATTTCTATTCTATAGACTTGTTATGTACTCGGTCGTAAAAGTGGTGTGACCACATTTATTGCGCCATCAATCATTTGGCACGAAAAACTTGTAATAATATTTTTGTGGTTGCCAATTCTGAATGTTGAATTTGATTAAAATTAATTGTATGAACGCGGCTTCGGAAGGAAACGGCCACTCGACAACATTGAATCAGAAACAGGTAGGTGCATTTTCATTTGTAACGCTGAGCAAAGCCTTTTGTTTTATGTATAGTATCTAAATGTTACTTTCTTGACCGTGCATTATCAACAATAATAATAATAATAATAACGCACACTCAACATAGCACCGCACTAGGGAAACCCTGTGTCGCAGCGTGTCATGGACACACATATAGACAACCACAAATTACACTCACGAGTGAAACAAATACAGGTCCTACAAATATTTCTCTCGATCCGGGAATCGAACCTGGGACCTCTGCGTGGCAGTCCGGCATGGTAACCGTTCGGCCACGGAGGCAGTTAAACGTTTTAAACGGAGGTTAAACACAAAGATTACACTGCAACAATCGACAGAAATACTAGATTTAGAGCCCTAAATTTTTGGACTCACTTTGACATCTTTGTAGTTGGCGACTATTTCCGAGGCGAATGTGTTGTTGCCGATGATGGGCTTGTTCTTAACACTGGGGAAGATGATGCCACCCTTGCGACTGGCTGGGCGCGCGTTAGTGCTGTTGGCGGGTGCGCCTGTACTGCCTGTGCTCGTTGGTGTCACTGTTACTGTCGGACTCGGTGTCGAATTGCTTGGGCTGCATTTGACATAACTATTAGTTACCGTACGTATAAATAAACACACGTACACCGCAATAATAACAATATCACATAACAGTCGCAGGGCGCATACAATCGCTTGTACAAAATATTTTTTTACAATCGCAATAGCGTTATTAAGTAAAGAAAGATGTCACCTGTTATTCATTGAGGAAGAAGTGGTAGCGGCAGCGGTACTGGTGCTGGGATCGGTAGTAGGCTCGTCCACTCGGTACCGGTTGGGGGCGTACTCCACCAGTCTATCGATGGTCGGGTCCAGCAGCAGCTCGGCAGGGACCGGCCTTTGAGCTAACGTTGCCACATCATCCTCCTGCTTCTTTAACCTTTTCTCTACCATATCTAAGTTCTCAATTATAAGATTTGTTTTTACTCTCAGATCGTTGTGAATTTGCCCAATAGCACGCTCCTGTCGTTGTGTTTGAGTCAGCAATTCATCGGATTTGGGAACTAAGTCATCAACAGAACTTTTAGTACCCACTACAACATCCCAGACTTCATGTTTTTTTTCAGAAACACTCATCATCGGTATTATTTTCTTTACAAGATTGTCGATCTTGCTGGATTTTGCTACTGGAGCTTGCGTGCTAGTTGCTGTTCTGTTCTTGAATAAACTGTTGACGTTAATGGACGCTGCTTCTGGCTCTACAATCGCTGAGTGAACATCGGCCATCATGTATAATACCTTGCCCAAATTTTCGGAAACAAGATTTATATGGAATTGTAATTTGCGATCTACTGTTGTCATTGAGGACCGCAACTGATCTACTTCTTTCGTGATTTCATTAATTACTTCGGTATTGAGACCTTTTGCAATTTCTATAACATTTAAATTGATAGGCTTCTTTTCGCTGGCTTCTGCGTTGATATCATCCACCGGCAAAAAATTATTATCTATTTGGTTTTTAAGACCCACAAGCTTGGAATCTATATCAGACACTTTCTGATCGAGGGATTCTAATTTTTTATCGAGTATCTTAGCATCACTGAACACATTTTCGTTCTGCCTTTTAAAAGCATTTTCAGTTACAGAGTCATGGTCGCCCTGGCTTATGTGGCTGAACAGTTTCAGGTCGAGGTTTCCTAATTTTGAAATAATGGCGTCAGTCTTATGTATATTGTCGTTTACTCTCGAGTCTAGAGCTTCCACTCTTCTCATTAGATGTTCCACGGCCTTGTCAAGGTTTTCAATTCTTTGTAATTTGGTTTCCAAAGTGCTTACTATTACTTCGAAAACATTAAAGATATACTGTTCCCTGAAACAAATGGGAAAAAAAACAATATTAGCGGTGTCAAAATAATAACAACAATACAACTAAACAATATAAGTAGGAACAAGTCGTTATTTTTATTACTTCAAGAGTCATTTTATAGGACCATATTGCATTTATAACAGCCCGTAGTGAAATTGACATGTCAGTAAGTGAGGTTACGCAACCGTAGAAATAGAAACCTTAAATACGTGCGACCTACGTGCATACCACATAATAGCTCGTCGTCGTCGAATTGACCCACGCGGTCGCATAGTTCTCATTCTATTGATTTATTTGTAGAAATACAGATTGAAACGAGTGTGGAGTATGATTCAATAAACGTCGTATACGTAAAAGTAATGACATCTCATATTTTCTCAATCCTTGTTAGTCGCTCGATGTACATAACATTATTATGCAAATCATCAGTAAAATCACAGTGCTTGTAACTGGGGCGTTTGACCAGAGTGTTTACTCTATCTAACCGACCGCGCGAGCTCTCGCCGCGACCGGTCCTATCCAATTACGTGGTTGCCTACATACATTTCTTTGTAATAGACAAACTGTACCAAACAATATAATCTCTTCATGTCACTCAAATTGCAAAACTTATTTATTATGTGCCTCTCCGATTCATGCAAATATGTAGGTATACGACTAGTTTAATGAAAATTAATCACGAGATAATCAGAATCTGCATGTGGATCTGTTTTTCTGGACTGGTGAAGTTATATGAATTTCTATAATATATAAATATATAACAGATGTTTTAAGTATTTAAGGAGGCGAATTATTCGAGTTGAATTTTCTGGATTTATAAATACAGGTAGTCGAGATAGCGTGGGCACCCACACATCGTGAGCACAAATCGCGCATCGTTGTGCGATAGGCAGCTTGTCGGCGGTGGCGGGTGGCGGCGGAGAGCCCGTACTCTCCACTAACGACGCCTATGTGGCTCAGGGTCTCTGTATTGTATCGCAGATGCTTCGATTGCCGCCACAGCCCGTATAATGCTTTGTTATATCGGCCAAAGCACGAGCTATTGTTGAATTAATCGAGTAACTTATTCACTTTAAATGTTATGTACTTAATTAAACTGCAGAGCTGCGTCTTGATAAGTAGGCAGAGCTATTACATATCGATTAACTTAATAAATCTTTTGAGAATTGCGCATTGAGAGAAAAGGATGAGTTACAAGATACTCGAATTTATCAAGTATATAATATGTACAATACAGTATGGTAATATTGTCGAGAGCCGAGACCTTGCGGCAACCGGCAATGTTTGTCGTCACAGTACTCAGACTTCAACACATGGCTTGTTAGGACGGAAGGCCATACACGGATGTTACAAAGCGTCAAAATTGTCGTCTTAAGTAGTTTACGTTCACAGTGTAATTGCTAGTTACGAAAACGAGTGCGTACCTAAAATATAAATTCAGGAGATGCAGATGCAGTCTTCCTATGTTAGTATTAATTTGTGATAAGCGCTTCCTATTTCAGAAATGTTTATGTTCAGCAGCAAAGTATAATTGATTTAATGGGATAGAATGGTATAGATCATTCAATAGTATATACATATTTCCTGCGATTTCAAAAAGTTTCAGTTTGTATATTCCGATGTGTGGCCATGTGCACTAAACCCAAGCCTTTTGTTACAACAGAAGTAATGTTTTGTGCATAACATTTTTAATGATCCCCTCTAGGAATAGGCCAATGGCCTTTTTATGCCTATTATTTAATACGTCATATCTAATATCTATGATGTAAACAATACTTTTATATTATCTAGGTCTAGCGATATATCTCTATATTCTGCAAAAATCAATTATGAAATTTGTTATAATTTAACTTTTTTTATTAATTGATAATTATCTGACCGAGATGATAACTGAATTTTTTTGTAATATCAAATCGTGCGCCTAATATTAAGCTACACCCCTGTCCATAACAGCTGCAGTGCCACCCAGAGCTTTAAATCGCAAAGATCTGAGGGGCACTGCGCCAGTCACCCTGAGACATAAGTTGACAAGTCCCATGTGCCTGTAATTTCATCAACTCCCTTACCCTTTAACACAGGAAATGTAGTATTTCGAACATTTATGGTAAATAATAATGTTAATATAAATAATTATATGTTTAATATAATGATTGAAAATCAATGTATTTTCTGTGACAACTAAACATTGATTATTATGGAAGAATAAAGGCTCTTTAGAATATAAATAACTTGCTTTCGGGTACATAACCTTCGGACATTCGGCATTTTAAGTTCTCGTGTATTATTTTCCGAATGTGTCATTTAGTAAGTTTAAACTTTAAGGTGTTTTTGATGAGCGTAATAAACTTTTCAGAGCTTAGGTATCATATTGTATTCTACATTTCGAAATAATTCAACCTTAACGGTTATTATCACAGAATTTTCAGCGAGTACCCAAGCATTGAAACCAATTACATTGTAGATTTTTAGGTGTACCTTGTGCAGTCGCGAACATAAATTAGGCAACACCTTAATTTCTTCGTGCGCTAACAGCAAAAGAACAGAAAACAAAATTTTGTAGGCTCGTTAGTTCGCTAAAAATAATAATAACCATTTTATTTCTAATCGCTATGGTATTTATCTTACTTAAGTGCACATAAGTGCTTAGTAAACAATAATGAGCAACAATATGTTAAGCCATTACTAGAGTGCGGAACCCTGTAGGTACTAGGCTACCTTGTGTTACCGGACAAATATATATATATATAAATTTTTTCCGAAAGAAAAAATTGAGAGAAATTATATTTTAGCTGGCTTTAATTGCTCAATATTGCGCTTGCCACACAGACGTCATAGATTCGAATCCCAGGCCGGAAGAATTATTTGCACGGCCTCATTTATTTCTCTCTTGATTTTGGGTGTAATTTGTAGTTGTCTGTGGTATGTACATTGTCCCTTCGATACAGTTCCCTAGTGCGGGGCTATGAGTGTGTGCGTTATTGTTGTTATTATTACTAGCAGGTGTCCGTAACCTCGTCTACGTAGAATAAGTAGTTCGAGTAGCCTACTGTACTAATCTCTGTACCAAAATTCATCAATATTGTTTCAGCGGTTTAGATGTGAAAACGCAACAGACAGAGTTACTTTCGCATTTACAATATTAGTTTGGATTAAGTGTTACTCTACGAATTCTAATTTGAAATGATTGCTTAATTAAAATTCAAATTTTAACTTAATTAACTGGTTTCGTCACAAGCACAATTCTGCTCATCCTAGTGTAACGTATAGACATTGTTTTAGTAGTTACAAGCCGCTGACTACGTCTCATTACTTAATTGAATTTATTGGTAATTCTTCTTCATACTCTAGTGACATCTAATTTCACGGAACGTGCATTAACGTCAGATGAATAAATATATAACAAAGCATCGAAAGTTTCTTATAGGAAATTAATTGGCCATGTCTTCTTTAACCTCATAGAGCTTGTTAAGCAAATATACAACACACTTGTTTGTTGATTACATAAATATATATAGCGGTTTTCACGGACTTTGATGCGTAATAATTAACATCTTAAACTACTGATGTGCCCATAGTATCGTGCTGCTGTCACAACAGGGGTTCGCATAATTCTACTATTAAAGTATGTTTTAAATGAATTATCGAAGATTTTACCAGTAGCGTATCTCTTAAAAAAAATTAAATTTCATAAAAATCTTTCTATTATAACATTAAAATTCATCATAACTTGGCAATATCCATATATACATACATGATATTACGTGTGTGTCTTTTTGTGTATATATAATTGAAATAGTACATGAAGTAATTTTTCGTATTTCAACATGTGTCGTTTTAGAATGGCGATTAGTATCGCAAGGCACATACTTCTGTCGCATTACAAGTGACCAGATATGTCTATGTCTATTAAGAATTCGGTATCAGAATGAATAGATACGATCAGGCAAGGGACCGTCACATGTGTTAATGAGAAATAAAAGGTCACAATATGCGCGGAATGGAATTGTTTTGGACTTGCATTTTCAATACGGGTTGCGTAAAACCTTTTTTGGAAAATGCCAACATCATTTTGGAAAGGATTGTTCGTTCTAGTCTATATATGAACGCAAGAAGCTGAGAGAATTTATGTCATCGTATGTTGAACTAACTTGTGAGTTAGTTTATGAATGTGGACGGTCAAAACTATCGAGACGATTTGTTGATTGACGTGTCGCTAAACGCGTACCTACCGTTGGAGAAAGGCGGTGACATAATACCAGCTCATTAATACACACGACTCACAATGGTTGCCGCACGATGGGCGTAACATCGCGATACCAGTCCGTAATCTAGTTCACTCTTTCTTTCGATCGACAGTTTGGCTTCAGACACTCCGACGCCTCGCCTATAATTAATTTTAAATAAAACTATTTTCTCGATAAACCGGATGATACGAAGAGACTTGCTAACATCTCGATAAGCTGTTCGGGTGACACAGTTAAAATTAAGTAATCAGAGGGCTTGGCTTAGACTTGAGAAAGAAACAAATAGCGACATTTATTACTATAAGGTTGAGTAAAAGCGGACGAAATCAGCACGAAACATTCCCATTTGGTTAATAGAAAACAGTGATTTTTAAGGAACGTTTGCAAAAATAACTCGTGTCCTAAACCAAGAAAGTAAGTTATAGTTTCCAGTTGACATTGCAAGGACAAACAGCGCCTAATATAGAAGCTTGAGAGGGACTATCTCTATCACTGAGAGTATTGCTAAAATAGTTTTTTTATTATTTTGTAACATCAGCAGGCACGTCCGCAGTCGCAACGTGTTCTGTTATCTCTACATTTTGTAAAGCTGACAGTTTCATAAGGCCGACCTTGACGGAGACCGCTTTGAAATCGGAGCCGTTTTATCCGGTCACCAGATGCTGACAATAGGCCACCAAGCGCGAACGCATTACTATCGTTATTATCAATTGTCTTAGTGAGGGAATGACACAGCGTTTAAGTAAAATCAAACCGTAG